GCTCGAAGGAGCTATCAGCAGAGAGCGAATAGTTTTTGAGGTTTTTTTAATGGATTATTGTTTTTTGTCCTGCAATATTTTATAGAGGCACCAGCGAGGCTGCTAATTTTAAACTTTCCTTTTCAACACAAGTAAAACCTTGTAAAACTACAACTAAAAATAAATAAAAACTTAATAAAAATGTAAGTGGTAAACTTACTAAAGTCTAAAGTATATTATTACAGGACAAGTTTAACAAGTTATTAAACACAAAGTTCGTTTTCTGGTCTCTCACACACACCCTCGGAGGCTGAATTGAATCCCTCTCGGCGCCACTTTCGCCTTTCGATCTGCTTCTCGCTCTCTTCGGAATTCGCTCTTGTCTGTATTCGCTCCCATCTGAATCCGCGCTCGTCTGAATTCGCTCTCCGTCTTTTTAGCCTTGCGGTTTCTGCTGTCGTAATTCGAATTCGCTTTGAACTCGAATTCGCCCTTGCTCGTGTTTGTCTTTGACAAAAATATATGTATGTATGTATATATGTATGTATGTATGTAAATATATGTACATATGTATGCAAATCTTCTCCCTGCCCCAATTAGCCTCAAATAAAATCCAAGTGATTTAAGTTTTTGAGCACTTGAAAATGTTTGCATTTAAAGGCACTTTATGCGCAAAAGTTTTTGTAATGCACTCGCCGCAATCTTCATTGGCCAGCAATAAAAGTGGCAGGCAACGTGTGATTAAAACTTTTATTCTGTGCCACATTTTTGAAGGAAAGCCACCTCCGCCACACACACACACACACGCAGCGCCACACATACTCTTATGCCACCTGGAAAAAGGTGTCGTAAAAATTCTATCAACTCGATTAAATTATAACAAGTGGATTTTCATGTTTTTGTGCCGCATTTATGTGTTTTTATTGTGCTAATTTTATGCGAGCTCTGGCGCGCGACGGCTGCCTCCTTAGGCAATTTTGGCAGAAAGCTTCCCGCGTCCTGCCCTCACATCCCCTCCCGAACACCCACAGAGCAGCCCACCCATAGATAGGGACCTGTGTGTCGGGGACTGCAATAATACTTGGCACACATTTAGTGGCAGCATTTAGTGGCACACTGCGGTCTCGGCGCCAACGAAGTTCATTCTTGGGACACACACACACACTTGGCAAAGTTTTTCGGCATGACGCGGCACTCACTTCACCTGGCTGGCACCTGGTGTGTGGCATGGCCATGGCATGGCATGGCATGGCACCTCCCAACTGCCTTTTGTCTTATCAAACTTTTTGGAGCGCGCATGTGTTTATGCCACAAATGGCACTTTTGCGGCAGCGCATTTTATTTTTTACTGCCACTTTTCGCCATTTTGCTTTATCATTTTTATATGTATCGTATGCATGGATGTGTGTGTGTGTGTGTGTATACATATTTTATATATATAAAACGACAAACAGGCTGCAGGTTCTGGCCTTGCTTAAAGTTACAAACAAAAAAATACTATCGAATTTTTCTACTATGGCACTAAGCCATATGTGGGATTATAATACGTATTCCTTGAACAATTTTAAGATTTGGTAGCTTATTTGGTTAGGAAAAGATGCCACTTACAGGCCCATGTCTGGAAATGGAACAACACCGTACAAAAATGTATTTAAAAAAAATGTTCAAAGTTGCAAAAAAATTAAAATTTGTAGAAAATTGTAACTTTGAGTCGGCATATCGTCGGGTATAATTCCTATAGGTTGGTAGAATATTCTAGCCTACGCGGTTATCCACGCTGCATATTATATTCAGTACAAATTATAAATGTAACAAGTTAATATAATTTTTGAGTTGTTTTTTTTTGCAGATTTTATCTATGGTCAAGCGATCTACAACAGCTAAATTTGTTTTTGTTCGTGCATTGTACATTCAAAAGTTTCACATTTTCGTATTACCCAAATTATTTTCGCACAGCTAAAAACGCAAAAAATAATAATTTATGTAAAATCACCACAAGCTCTAGCTCCTCTTCGTTACTCTTCGAATTCTTACAGTATCAATATTCAGATACCTATCACACTCCGTAATTCCCACTCTCACCCACAGATAGCACTCCAACTAGCAGTCAATTCCATTTAGAGCTCTGCTTATAGCGTAGAGGAATTTAAATGGCCGCCTCCTTCCCCATTTTGGGGTTGGGTTTTATTGTGCCCAAAGACAGGCACTGTCTGTCCTGGCAGACCTGCCGAAAGGTGTGCAAGGCAAGCCAACTAATGACCCCCGCCTCCGCCCCTGTGTTTATATGACAGTCGGGGAAAGTTTATAAATATTTATGGGGCCTCGACTCCGCCTTTTGTTGCTTACTTTCATCAAGCTCGAAGTCATTTGGTTATTTTAAAATTCCGAGCAGGCGTAGATTCATTTTTGACACCCGACACACACCCCCCCATGCCCCCCAACACGAGGCATCTGCCGCACGTTGTTGCCATTGTCACGCACACACGTACTATATTTTTTACGCGCATAAGGACACACACACGCACACCCTGTCGCATTCCCTTGGTGTTGGCTTAAAGGACTCGACGACCCCTTTCCCGGTACTGAGGAGATGTTTGCGAAGGTTTGGTTGGGGCCCCGTCAAAGTAAATAGAATCACGTACACTAATTATCATCGCCATTGCACGAAGGACGCTCAAAAATATATCTATATATTTTTATTAATTTCGGTAAGGTAACGCCCCGCCCCGCCCCGCCCCCCTTTGTAAGCCATCAGCTTTGCCTTTTTCCCTTTCCGCTCATGGGGAAAATTTTAATTGAGATCCCCTCCCCGTTCGGCGATAGCAGCGCGGAACTATTTGCCGGAAATTGAGGCGGTCGGGAGGATGCTGGTTTCGAATGCAAAGTGCGTCCTCAAATGTATAGAGTTTTGAATGGGTTGGTTGGTGGTTTAGATAAGGTTACCCATACGCGTACAATTAGCTGTGCTATTAGATGTAGATGTGTGGATATTTTGTGTAATGTGAGTCACGGCATTGAAGGTCTCAACGAAATCAATTCAAAATCCCCCAGCTGATAACTATTTGAGAGCTTTTTTAGAGGTACGGATACAGAAATATGTAATTTTATGAAGTGTTAGGGGAGGGACTTGACATAATTAGAACAAGGTTAAACATAGCGAAATATGTGTATAAATAAAAATGTAGTAAATGCGTAATAAATAATTAAACCATTAAAAGGTTAAGGCAAGTAAATATTTAATTAATATCTTCTCGTGTTCAAAAACACATTGAACTTGGTTAAACGATAAAAGCTAATAAAAAGAAAAGAACCACTGACTCTAGGAATTCAAATAAAGGTAAAAACAAAACAGTATCTTGGTAGATATTTCTGATATAATTATACTTCATATTTAAATGGAATTCTACACTATTTACTTGTATTACAATATCTGTACCGACGTAAGACCCCCACAAACATAGGGTACTTCACACAGACCAAAACACTACGCTTCCCAGTACGCTTTAGACTCTGATAAGAGCACACAGTGGGGCAGCGTGGCCTTTATCTATAGATAACACTCGTCGCGCAATAGTCCGAGATTGGCAAAGAACTTAACTTTAATAGTAAAATCCAGCGTAATGCCCAGTGCCAGACAGAACGCGCTCGGTGCAACAAGTCGGTTCCGATAGACCCAAAACAGCAAACGATCAAACCATGGACCATCGTACTCGTGTCGTAGAGGTGGTGCAAGTGGCACCGCAGCCTGCCACCACGGTTATCGTACAGTCGCCTCCAGCGCCGCCGACAAAGGATAATAGCTGCTGTTGGTGTCCCTGCTGCCCGTGCTGCTGTAGCTGTGGCGATACTTGCTGCTGCTGCACCATCATGTGAGGGAAGGAGAACACTTCCATAAACACTGGACCACCGATCCATCCTAACTGTATTACGTTAAATTAACCTTCTATGTAGTGGCATTCGAGGTCACATAATTTCCACACACAGTTTTTTCGTGCAATAAAACTTAACGCTTTGTTATAAATAATGCTTGACACTCCCTACACACTCCCCCCAGCAACGCGCAGAACATATTGTCTTACATAAATCTCAATGCCGGGGCCATAACATAAAAAGCCAAATTTAATAACATGCCACAAAAATTTGTAGTTTTATGACACAACACACGGAATGGGGCTAAGGGAATCGTTTTCCGGCTTCGGGATGCGGCTGGGGAAATGCTCGCCACATCATTGCGAAGTTAGTTCACATTCCGAGTTATTATTTATTTGTGGCTCGATTTGCCAATAAAACCGGAAAATGTGTCAAAAGTGCTGCCAAGTTTGGCTCCCTTTGCCGAGCTGCTGTTGCCATTTGATAAAGGATTTTATGACTCTTTGGCCTCTCGAATTGCAACCGCAGCCTCAAAGTTGCTGCCGCCTCCCCAGAAAACATTTTGACAAGGGTGTCGCCGGAATAGCAGTGCCAGTGCCGGCTCACACCTACCATCAGTTGTGTGTGTGTGTGGTGTGTGCTTTTCCTTGGCCAGGTTTTATCTAAAGCTTAAACAAAATTACTCATACGCAATGTGATACGAAATGTGCCCGAGAACTGTGGTGCAGGTATATGCAATTGAAATGTGTGATTTATTTAGTTTTTTCATATACACTTTGCAGCAATGAAACAACAAAACTTGTTGTCAGCCTTAATTGTTGGGAAAATATCTAAGCAATCAGAGTTAATGGCAGTCTTAGACTCGTTTATATTCAAAGTGCATAGAGCTATGTCGGATTGTTAATTGAGAATTTAAAAGGCTATCCCAGGCCGCCAAGAAAAATGTAAATTCGAACACTGATAGACACATGTTTTCATATATTTATCTACATATGTTTATGTACTGCGATTGTGTCACTGTTGTGGTGTTTCTTTTTCAACATTTTGTGTACTTTGTGTGTTATCAGGGGGAAGCTCATTGATCAAATTGCCAGGGCTTTAGATACAATTGGGTAAAATATTTATTACGAGGCAAAACTTTCAGTGCGTTGCTTCAGTTATAGGCGCGTACCCGGGCAGCGACCACTTAGTCGAAGCGTTTAGCCAAATTAAGTTAGTCAAAGGAAGCAACCAAGAAATAAAAGAAAAATGTACTACAATCAAGGCTACCAAATGGACGTGATCGATCCGTACTATCCACCGGAAATCATCGAAGTGATGCAGCCCCCGCCGCCGGTGGAGGTGATAATGCCCTCACCAATGTACTCGCAGCCCGTTGTGGTGGTGGAGCAGCCCCAATACGGCCCGACGGCCACAGGACCCTCCCAAGGCGAAATGGAATGCTGCCTGATGCTAGGTGCCTGCTGCGTCATGGAGGAGTGCGGCATGTGTGTCATCTCGTAGCGCGGCAAATATGGAATAAATGTGTATGGAATATGTGGAATAAGAAGCCTGTAAACTGAATAATAAATCTAGACTGAAACCGAATGTGTGATGACTCAAAGTGTGCTGGTAATTCGGGGCTACCAAAAGATACTCCAAGTATGATAAAGTCAAAGGAGACATTTTGTGGTGAAAGAGTTCAAACTGATTAAAGTGCTTGTTACTACCTGTGACTCTACTCCTCTCTCTTTTCTTAACTGAGTGTTAGCCTACACATAAATATCAATAACAATAGATCTTAATTCCTCCGACAACGAGCACCCTGATAGATAGACTTTCAACAAGACAGGCCATCTCCGGACTACCGCGACCATATTTTCGGTGGCAACTGCCAAAGAAAATTTACTGTGTACTCTGGAACTTTTTTTTTTGTTTCTGAAAGACATTCATCCCCCGTGGGAGGACCACGCCCATACTCATTTCCTTGGGTTTTCCTTTTAATAAATATAAAGCGTTAATTTGCTGCATAATTGCGCCCTGCCACACCCAGTAGAGTGCCAGCAGCAGGCGGACGGACCCCTGTCGCTTTCGTGTCCCAGTTAAGTAGCGCCACAGCCTCGCACTCCATCAGGCCGACTGACTCAACCCGACTGGAGTGGGAGTGGGAGTGGGAGTGGGGGTGGCAGCACTGTCTATCCACCATTTGCGCTCCCTTTTTCATGTCCTCAATGACAGTTATTTCATTTTTCTTGTTGATGTCTTTCCCTGCACTCATTAAATCAAGTTAAAAAGGCATATAGCCGTGCGCTGTTGTTCCTGCTTCCGTCGGTTGCCGTTGCCGTTGCCGTTGCCATTTCCGTTGTAAGGCAAGCTGTTGATGTTGTTCTCGGTTCCTAGGACTTGGTTGTTATTGTGGCTGAATGTTCTTGGGACCGCAGCAAACGACAAACAACAGCGGCGAAACACAGACACCAAACGCCCGAGACAACGCACAAAATTACAAATACAAATAACATTTCACAGAACTCAACCAAAGAAACAATACATACTTTGTAAGACGGAATGAAGCGGCGAAAGCGAAACTCCTTTTGTACAGGGCTCGGCTTTAATTATAATAACTTGTGAGTGGTTGACATCCGCACTGACTTTAATGGCCCAGCCGCAAAAGAGATAACATCCAGGACACCTGATGGGAAGAACGGATCCATACGACACTTCGTCTTTAGTATTTGTAAATGATTCCAGAGCTAAAAGTAATACTGTGTAAAGGGCGAAAAAGAGACAATGAGACTCTTGGGAAATATGTGCCCTTTGCATGGCGTATTACTTATGAAATGTATTTACAAGTCGCTCTCTGGCGACCGGATCAACTGTAGTTGAGTCACACAAGCTACACTCCGTTTAGCTGCCATACGAACGATGCATTTGGAAGGGCAACGAACGTTTTTAGCTTCAACTCCAAGTTGATGCTGGCACCTGCCTGCTCGCCTTTTGGGTTTCATTGAATTGATGATAAATTGCTTAAGAACTTTGTTGATTTTCCATAAGGGAGTCAGCCGCCGATATTTGTAATAGAAAAACCTCAAATCATGAAGTACAACTGGATGTACAACTAATGCATATTCCATGTTTGCGCAACGAGGACAACCCACCCACTTACTTGGCCATTCTTCCAGCCACAGTACAAGCTTTCCACCCTCTTGGCGCGTTTGTGCTTGTTGCATTTCTCGCAAGTAATTTCTTTATGAGTTTTTACTGTTTTGGGCCCCGTAATCCTTATAGATGAAGCAGCAAATTTGATGCTGCGTGCAACGTGCTTTCCTCCCTCGATGGCCGTCATTCTAGTTAATTCCCCCCTATTTACCACAGTAAGTTGACTTAATGCATTCGCTCGGTCCAGGTCTCGTTCTTCCCATCTCTCTCTCTCTCGCTCTCAGGGGTTTTGCTGCTAATACACGTTAATATCCTTTGAGCTATGAAATTGCGCTCATTTGTCAGGATTTGAGGGAAGAGGCCAGAACAGGACACAGGATACAGGAAATTGCAATTGTATTCCTTGGTATTTGTTGCTTTTCCTTTGGCTTTTGGCAATGATGATTTATTTGCCGCGCACGTGAGAATGCGTCCAGACCTGCAGGAAGAGGGGTGTACAGTGGGCGGTCTGTTGCGAGCTGCCTCATTAATTTCTGCCTAACGGACTCATTAAAAACTAATCCGTCATGGGAGTCCGCATCGATAGCTCTGTCCGCCAGCTGAGTAAGTTGAGACGCAGCTTGTTAGTGTCAGATCGGCTTAAAATTAGCTTGACTTGAGAAATCAATCGGATAAAAACAAATGGCCAAAGATTTCAATCTTGCGTCTACATGGATCCATTTCCAATTTGGATGGATAGAATGAAGCACTACAATGAACTACTGATAACAAGAGAAAATCAATATTTATTTAGTACAGTTTTATGCAGTTTATCAAAAAGTGTTCTTTAACGTTGCAATTTCTGTATAATTACTCAAACGCTGTCATTATATACCAAACAATGGTACAAATCCTCATAATCGTAAACATTTGCCAGCCCGTTGTGCATTAGCTGATGAGCAATCAGAAAAGAGAGTAAACGCGGAAGGTCATAGAGCTGTGAAGACTGAGCGACCTGGAATTGTAGCTAAAATGAGTACTTTTTAAAATGGGAAAACACATGAACGTCAGTATTTAGCCACGTATTAGGACACTCAACCTAGATACGTTCAGATTGTTATGGTAACGGCGTCCTTTGTGCCATCGTCACCTGGGCCACAGGCGGGCTGAGAGCAAGCGGTGAGCACTGACCCGCTAAGTGCCGTTCGACTCATGGCTCTCCCGTTCCCGCTACCGCTCCCACGTTCATCCTCTTGCTTTTTTGCATTGTGTCAAGTGCAAAATGTGCAATGCATGATACAAAGCGACCGCATGCCGCAGTCGCTTTCTCCCTCTCCTGCCATATAACGGTGTGCAAGCTTGCATTGTGCTGGGCAGAAGTAAAAACAGAAACGAAAAACAAAATAAGGAACAAAGGTCGAGCGCTTAATACCCTTGTAGATGCACCGCTGCAAATCCATAGCTGCGATTTCGAATATTATGAGTAGATACGTGCATATGTATGCAATTTCTAAAGAAAGCTTGAACTACCTTTGGAAACATTCGCAAGTTTTCCCACAAAAACTTGATTTACCCACTCAACTCCAGCTCCAAATAAGAATACCCTCTGCAAGGGTATTGTGAAAGAAACAACAAGAAGGGGAACTTCTGTGTGACACATTTGGCAATGCGTTTTTAAACTGGAGAAAACGGAGAGAAGAACAAAACGAATGTGGCAGCCGCAAAACAGAATAGAACAAGAGGGTTCAGAGGAAGCGGGAGACCGACCGGCAACAAAAAGTCATTGGCAGTGGGAGGGCATGTGGGGAGGGCGGTGGTGGTGTGTAGAGAAAAGTTTTAGCATTTTTTGTGCGCCTCGGCCTCGGCACTGAATTGCACTTAAAGTCAGCGCCAGTTAAAAACTTTCAAGCAGCAGCAGCAGGCAGTCGTCTTTCTGGATCTCCCTCTGCCGACGACAACACACAAAAACTGTAAAAACTAAAAATAGTCAAATAAGAGGATGAAGAAGATGATGTAGAAAAAGAAGAGAGAGAACTCTACTCTTGCATGGAGTGCGAAAGAAACAATTGAAAACTTTATTGCTTTTGCCTTTTTCACTTTTGTTCGCAAGTATGTTGCTCGCTCACAATGGTAAGGGGTATGGTGCAGTGGCGGAGGAGTCGTTGACAAAAACCCAGAATGTTAGAAGGGAGCAACAGCTGAGGAGAGCGGATGGAGGGGAGACCAGAGCCAAAAAGAAGAGAAACTCGAAAGTTTGGTGCTCTTATTAATTTTGGGAACTGTGCTGAGGGCTGAGGAGAATAAATGGAGCAGGTTGGCAGCCGCATAGGGAAAGGGCCCCAACAGTATGGTTTCTGGGGAAGAGAGTGGGGAATAATAATGGGACGGGTGGCTCGGCACACTCTCGGCAGCTGTGCGGTCAGCTGGGGCTGCCCACTAATTGGCCTTGTGAAAATATTTGCTACGCTTATGAAAACACTTGACCACTGCAGCCTGCCGCACGACCCTTGACTGAAATGACACACAGAATGGTCAAAGTGGACCCAAAACAGTCTCACCCACACATGTACATAACTATGAGCACACCACACACAGCATAATATGCACATAAGCCCTTGGTTTATGCGCCCGCGAAGTTTATAATTAAATCATTGCAGTCAAAGGGCTGGATGCAACATTTGTTGTGGAATAATTGAAATGTGCTGTTTATTTATGTATAAACAATTCTTTGGACATTGTGACTTCAGTTATTCCAACCAAATGGAACATCACAAACAGCAAGGACGCATAAACATAATTAGAATCAGCCAAAACGGTCACCCAACCACACCCACACCCACACGAACGCACTCACTCGAGGAGACATCGACCCAGTCCAATCATAGACACATGCCGAGCTGGCCGCAGGACCCGAACCCTGACTGTATGACCCTCACACCTCGCACACCCACCCACATTCACCCCACCAGCAAACACCGCAATTTTTGTCAACTGAACTAATTAATTAATTGTGGGCGGCCAGCGTGGCCTTCCTTCCAGTCGAGGCCGAACCGAAGCGAACCGAAACGGACCGACACTGGACGAACACCCAACCGTCCACCCACCCACTTGCTAACTGACCGGCAACTAATTTTTATATTTATGAGCCGTGGACCGGGGGGGACTGGACTGAACTGGACTGTTGGCCTACTGCGTCATAAACTGTATCGTTTTGGTGTTGCTGTTTTGTATGCATGTGTGTTTGTTGTGTGCTCCCTGCCTGAAAGAGTAGTGCCCCAGTAAAGGACAGTTTATCCTTGACGCAGACTCCATGCCGTTTGGCCCACCCAAAACATAAAGTTGCATGTTCAAATTTTTAGTATCTTTGTGTGATTTCATGCGTTAAAGCAGAATTTTTATTTGCTGCCCCGTAAAGACAAACGACAGCCACAAGGATGGGCTACAGGGCGGAGGGGCGAGGATACATATCTGAT